CTTGTATTACAATTCTCATATAATACCCACATTTTCCGGTACACTGGATTCCTGTAAGGCAAGGGGATATCCTGGGATCTCTTGTGCCTCCCAGGACAATGTTGGACACTGTGCCAAGTGCGTTAGGAAATTTCACTAGTGTTAGTAAATTTTTGTGGAAGAGGCACTATACACCCCCTTCTGGTGCTTTCCGTGAAGGACCCATTGCCCTGTCCTTAGTTCTGCCTCCCTATCTCTTTCCTTCTCCTCCTGTCCAACCTCCCCTACCCCTGACCTGAGGGGGAATCACACCAACCCCCTGAGTCTCACCTGGTTGGGAAGGAAAGAGGAGCAGATCCATCCGGCTCTTTGACCCTTGGTGAGATAACTGGACTAGAAGCCAAAAGAGTTTTACTTTGGCTTGCAATACCAAAAGCATTTTTTTTTCCAGCTCCTCCAAAGTTAGGAGGCTGAGGCAAGCAGATCATGAGTTTAAAGCCAGTCTAGATAACATAATGAGGCACTGTCTTTAAAAAAAAAAATCCTTTGGGCACTAGGGAATGTCCATCAGTATTAGAGCGTTTGTCTCCAATGCATGGGTCTTAGGTTTGAAGAATAAGCCAACTTCAGGGCTGGGGTGTGGCCTCGTGGTAGGTAGAACTCATTCTTAGCATGTTGTAACAGCATCTCTTACCCAGAATTAAAACGTGTGCTATGTGAGTTTGTGTGCGATGGAAATAGATTCTGTTGTAGAATTAATGAGAGGAAAGTCCTGTATTAATTAGTTTTCTCACACCGTGACAAAAATACCCAACACCAGCAACTTAAGGAAGACTTTGCTTTGTCTCCGTGTTGGAGCACTGTGTGCCACGGCAGCGAGGACTCGGCTGGCACAGGAACCAGCTGCTCACAGGGTAGTCAGCAACAAGAGACCAACGTGCCTCTGCAGTTCACTTTCTCCTTCTCAGCCCGGGCCCGGGCCCATGGTGTGGGGTCGCTCACATTCAGAGCGAATCTTCCTCTTTCCACCTCACTTAACCCAGTCCAGAAACTCCCTCGCAGGCATTCCCAGAAATGTGTTTCCTGCTGATGACTAAATATTAACCATCACACTCCCAATAGAAAAGAGTCGTATTTATAATTCTAGCAAAAGAAAGTGCTGGCCCTGGTGGCACGTGACTGACTGTTCGGTGATTTGTTTTAATTTTTAAACTCTTTTTAAATGTGTGTTGATGTTTTTGCCTGCATGAAGGTCTCTGCACTGCCTACATGCCTCTGCCTTCAGGAACCAAAAGAGGGCCTCGGTGCCCTGAGACTGGAGTTACAGATGGTTGTAAGCTACCCTGTAGGTGCTGGGACTAGGGTCCTGGTCCTCTGGATGGGCAGCCGGTGATCTTAATTGCTATGCTGTGTCTCCAGCCCCATCATGCATGCCTCTGAGCCCAGCATTCAAGAGGCAGAGGAAGGCAGATCTCTGTAAGTCTGAGGCCAGCCTGGTTTACAGAGTGAGTTCCAGGACACCCCGGGGCTACCTATTAGTGATCCCTTATCTCAAAAGACAAAAAAGCAAGTAAACATCCTTATCAGAAGCTCCTTTCTTCCTCTCCTCTATTTTCCAAATTGAAAAATTTGCCCATGTTACTAATAAAGTGAGAAATGGTGCATTTTAGTTTTCAAAATTACCTTAGATAGTAAGGCAGAAATGGCTCCAAGTTCAGGGCCCATTGTGCCTCACCCAAGAACCTAGAGACGCCCCATGGCAGCAGCGCAGGCCTCCCTACTCCCAAGCTGCCGAGCGAGCGTCTGTGGCTGCTCCAGTCTGGAAAAGTCGCCTGCGGGTGAGTCGCCTCTGTAGAAGCAGGATCTCACCACCCCCACCCAGCACACCCAGAGTTAACCCTAGCCCTCAAAATTCCCAGAAGGGACTCATGAAGGGGTTTTCCCCAGACAAACAGACACCTCATACATATTTGCCACTTAGCACAGATGTTTGCCTGGGGGTGGGAGTGCTGAGAGACAACGCAGGTACACAACTTTAGGGTAACAGGTAGCCCCAAACAAAGCCAGACAAGCCAGGGCGAGCTAGAACTGGGATGCCCAGGAGGCCTAGATTTATTCTGTGTTCTGAAGTCTTGTCCTTCTGTGTCCGCGTCCGCATCTCACATGGACTGACACTCTCCGCTCCTCCCAGCAGGCGGCGCAGCGGCTCCAGGAGCACCGGGCTAGTGCGAATGTGTTGCCGGTCTGAGTTTCAGCACTTAGCAAGACTGTTGTTTGGCCAGGCGTATTTCCTCTGCTACCCAATTCCAGGAAAACATATGCCCCAACATAAGTGCCCTGCCTACTGCGGGACTCCGGGAGGGCAAAGACTTTATCTTAGCTTCATCCTCGCGTTCTGTGTGCCAAGGGATAGCCAACACAGAAAGGCGCAAATATAGGGATAGGATCAAGGCCTGAAGTGACAATGTTGGACAAGGTCCCAAACCAGAGGCTCTGCGTCCTGTCGGTGCCGAGATTTCCGCCAGCCTTTCCACCTAGCTCGCTCCTTCCTGCCTTAGACCCGGGCAGTCAGGAGGTGAACGCGTCCCTGCCAGGCTGGGCCCAGGGGGATTGAACCTGCGGGGAGGGAGCTGCGCAGCGCGGGACCCCACACGTATTCACCCAGTGGCAGCCAACGGAGGCGATCCGGCCCAACGCCGTCTCCCCCAGGGACAATCCTGGGCTATTTTCTCTGAAGATGTGCTACTGCCTTACCCCTGTGCGAGTTTCTCAGCAGGCACATGTTTACACCTTTACAGTGAGTGACCTCACTCAACGAACACTGCCCGGCTACTGTTCGTGCTGGCGCCGGCAACACGACATAGAACAAAACCAAACCCTACGAAGCAAAGGAACTGGGAGAGGATACTCGCAGCACGAGGGACGCTTGGGGGACCTTCACCTAGGACCTTCACCTCCAGATGAGCAAAAAGCGCGTGAGGCGCTTCTCTAGGGCTGCTGATAAACTTCGGACCCGGCGGGAGGGGCGGGCCGCACCCTGGCTATGCGTGGGGCTCCGGCACGTCCCGCAGGGCAGGTGTGCTCGAAGGTGGCATGTGTTTGTGCAAAGCCGGACCCTGACCCAGGAGCCGGGTTACAGGGCGCGGCACCTAGTTGGAGCTCAGTAAATATTTATGGTGAGAGCGACAAGTAGGGCCCACCTCCCGAAGGAGGAGGAGGAGGAGGAAGAAGGCCAGAGCCCTCCTCAACTCCAGGCTCCTCCCCAGCAGGGTCAGCACCGGACTGGCCGCGGCGTCCTGGCCCGGCGTAATTACAGGCTCTGCCGCCAGGCCTGGCCGTAAAAAACCAGGATGAAACGGCCTGCAAGCCCAGGAAGCTGGGCCGGAGCCGGCAAAGAGCGCCGGGTCCGCAACTTGCCCTGATGCGCAGCCGCAAAGAAAAAAAAAGGGGGGGGGAACCTAACCCCCCGCCCCATCAAATCCTGCAGGCACACAGCCACCCAAGCAAACTACCAAACACTCAGCTTTCAACTTTCCAGCTCCAGGAACGCACTCGAGCCTAATCAAACACCTGCCCGCCAGCTCCAACACAGGCGCAGACGCCGCCAGCCCCTCTCCAGACAGCTGCTGATTCGAGAGGTGAATTCCTGCGAGGTTGTTTACATGGAGCGGGGGAGGGGATCTGAGCCTGGTACTGAGGTCCTACCGACGGGAAGACCCAAGACTGAGCCTACCACAGCGGCCCAAACTACCCCGACTCCAGCCCACCCCCGCTGCACGCCCAAACACGTTTCTCCTCTTCTTCACACACTGTTCACAAACATTAGCATACGTATGTCAGGCGTTTCACACGCTTCCGCACACACTCACAAGTGTCTTTACACCTACCTTGCCACATTTACACACGCATTTATTTACACACGCCATATGTACATGTGTGGGTTAGTTTGTCACCCTCCGTGACCATATTCCCACAGTCCATCTGCAAGAGCCCATTCGCCCGAGACACGCGTGAGACAAACAGGTCATTAGTGTACTTTGGCTCTATTAAAAAATTAAGAAGAGACCCCCTCGTGAGCCCAAGGGTCCTATCTGTTCCTCTCGCACAAAGTACGGATGGACTGAGGCGCCCTTAGCCCTGGCCGCACACGTTACACACTTGATCACACACAGCGTCGCACTTTATTCCCGGCATCTAAGCGATGACACAATCTCTTGAACAAAGACAACATTGACAAACCCAACAAAAACAAACAGCCGCGTCTGTGTGGGGAGGGGCAGCCAAGCGCAGAGTCTGGGCATGGAGGGGTTGCGGGAGGGGGTGCGGATAGCGAGAGAGCGTGAGAAGGCGAACGCGCAGGCCTGAGTGTGAATCTCGGGAAAGGTGTGGGTATATCCCCCAACCTCGCACCCTGGCAAGATTGGCGCCCCGCGCTGCAAAGCCAGGTCCTGAAGCCGCTGGTTCCCAGACCCACACGTGTGAGTTCCTCCCTTCCCCAGCTTGCGTCTGCGCCCAGTCCCACAAAGCCTACAGAGCCTCACACAGACGTGTCCCCGTCGTCCCCCCCACCCCACCCCCCGTAAGCGAACACGCAGCTATGGAGAGATCTGTGCAGACCCCGGAGCGCGCTCCGTCCCTGGGGCGCGGGAGGCGCCCCCTCCTCCCCTCCCCGAGCGTTTTCCCTTCCTCCACCTCCCCAGCCACCAAGCCCTGGGGCAGCGCGCGCCGGGCGGGGCGGGGGCGGGGCGGGTGTCGGGCGGGGCGCCGGCCCAAAAGGCGGAGTCGAGCAGTGAAGAGGCCAGATTTGTGATCGCGGTGCCTACTGTACCGTGGAGAAGCCAGTGGGAACCCTGTACTGCAGAGCTCTCGTCCCGGCCTGGCCCGGCCCGGCCCCACGCTATGGAGTTCCTTTGGGCCCCTCTCTTGGGGCTGTGCTGCAGTCTGGCCGCTGCTGACCGTCACATCGTCTTCTGGAACAGTTCAAATCCCAAGTAAGCCCCGAGACTCCCTCTGGCAGCCTGGGCGCCCGGTTGGCAATGCTTTTCCTCAGGGTAACTGTCCCGGCCACCCCCTGGCCTGAGCCTAGGGGAGGTGGCCAGGGGTGGGAAGGATTCTGTAGCGTCCCACCTCCGTCTTTACCTTCCCTTAGTAACTGGCAGTACCCGACCCTGGCAGAAACCTGCTCATGCCTACTTGCAGAGGCGCTATTTCAGCCCTTCTCTTCCTGCCCTCTGGCATCCCATTACTCCAAAGTAAGGATCTCAGGACGAGCGTTCTTACCTTGAGAATGTAACTTCGGCCCTGGCCTCCAGGGCTCTTAAGTCTCCCCATGAAACTTCTGTGCCCTCTCTTTTTGTGTGTCGCATGAGCATTTGTGTGACGACAGGCACCTATTGACATCAAGAGTCAACACAGTGCTCAGAGTGGCCCTGGAAAGACTCTTAGTAGGGATCTAGGTTTCGGGTATCAGGTATAAACACATTCTGTGTTTAAGATGACCCTGCAGAGTGGCCCCCAGGATTTTTTGGGGGTGGCATAAATTAGGCACATGCTGTGCATGGATAGACCGAGGGAGTGGCCAAGGTGGTCACACTAGGGAACTGGTGAGGGGAGTGTCCCTGGAAAGCCTGGGGAGGAGCAGAGGGGGTTTCACTGGGCTACAAAGGGCTGTGACAGGAAGGAGGCAATTTCTCCTGGGCAGGTTTTAGGGCTACGAAGCAAATGGTCTTGGGAGGAAGACACTGCCAGACCCTTTGTTCTTGCCCTTGAGTTTCCTCAAGTTGTGAGAACAGTATTTGGGCAAAACCTAAGAGGGGGGCATGGTGGAACAGGGGCAAAGGGCCTAGCCCCCGAGGGGTGGGGGCACAAAATACCACCAGAGCACTCCCACACCCAGTGTGCCTACTTCCCCCTTCCCTGAGCTAGATGCCATGCCGGTCTCCTCTGGCATTGTGGCATTGCCTATTGAGGGTCTGTTGTCTAGGGCATGTCGGAGGGCAGCATAGAACCAGCTGCCAACCCTAAGGGCAATGTCTTCCTGGCCCCGGGCTGCTACGTCAGCCCAGCCAGCCCTGGATCCTACCCCTTGCCTCCCTGACCTAGTCCTGTCCTAGTAGTGGGAAAGAGCAAAGTCCCTGTTATGTCCATGCCAGGTGTTGGCTGAAGGAGGAGGAGGGGACAGGAAGCCATGAGTAGGGAGGGGGGAACTCTGGCCTTTTCCGTTCCCAAGCTCCCAGGTTTCCTCTCTTTCAGGAAGGAGCCTCTTCCTTGCCCCCCTCCCTGTCTTCTCCACCACCAATGTCGCCCCCCCTTCCAGACGGAGATTAGGTGTCACAGGCAGGCTATGTAGAGGGGGTAGTCCCCTTAGAAGTATATCCCACTAAGAATAGCTTCAGGCCTGTCCCTCTGGACACGGACACACACACACACATTCCCTGTCTTATTTACAGCTACAGGAAAGCCGGTCTAGAGTAGAGGTCATGGGCGGTCTAGCCAGGCCCAACTTGGAAGAAGAGATGAGGTGGCAGTGAGCAGGGCGGGTGCAGGGTTGGCACAGGTGACTCAGGGTGGTGGGCATTAGCCCTGCAGTCTCCAGGCTCCAGGCAGAGGCAGGTGTGAGCTGCCTCTGTGAGCTCCAGGCTCAAGAGAAGGGTGTGAGCTGGGTTCCCATGGTCCTGGAGAGACAGCTACTCCGGCTGTTCAGACTCCTCTGCTCCCTTTGCCCAGAGACCAGCACTGAGGCAAAACCAGTCCTGGGCTGTCCTGGGGTCCAGGGGGGCTGCTTACATTTGACAAGGTGAATTTTCACAGGCTCTCAAGAGTGCCTGGGCGGGTAGCAGAGGTGGATTGAGGCATGAGTCAGTGCCCATCACGGGAATGGGGGAAAGACGCCAGGCCCAGAGCTGAAATACCTGTTCTGAAATGGCTTCTATGTTTATCTCTCCAGAGAGGAATTTTAAAAGCCTCTCCCTCTGCTTCTCTCTCTTTTCCCCAGGGTGGGGGAGGGGCCTGGTAGGCCCAGTTCTCGAGGCTGCAAGCTGTTGCAAGGCCAGGCCTCTAAAGGGTCATGATGACTGGGTCGTGGGTGGCCACCACGGAACCCCACCATCACCATGGGCACCACCCGTGCCGAGGACTTGGATTTAAAGCAAATTGGCAGGCAGCTCTGCTGAGCCTCTCCCTGGCATTGCTTGGGAGAATTCAGAGAAGCTGGCTGGCTGTCAGTGGGAGGTGGGGAGCACTTCGCCACCGCTAAGGACCCTACCCAGGCTGGAGCCAGGTGTCTGGAGCTCAGGGGGAGGGGCTGGTGGGCAGTCAGGCTGGAGCCTGCGGGGCTTGGGGGGGGGGGGAGTGACTGGGGGAGGGGAGCTGGCTCCACCTGGGGAGAAGGGAAAGGCAGAGACAGTCTCAGGTCTAAACTGTACCATTTCATCAGGGGAAGGTGGAATTGTGACTCTTGGAGATAAAAAAAGACGGGGATGTTTGGGGGTGCTCTGAGGAAATGGGACAAGGCGATCAGGGCATACACTTGAGTAACAAGAAAGGAAGATTTGTGTAAACTGGTAAGAATGGTCTTACTCTCTGCGAGTCTGGGTTTGGACCAGGGCCTGGGTCCTGAAGTGGAAATCTGAGAGAGACTCGGTGTGAGGGGCAGGACAGGCCGAGATAAGCGAAGAAAGGGATGCGATGAGGGCTCAGCAGCGTGGTAGAGAGAGAGGGACCTTGGCTCCCACATGCAGAACGGGCCAGACTGTAGTTTCCTGGCATTTAAAGAAGACCTGGGGAAACAGAACAGTGAGCGAGCTGCAGAAATACTGAGGACCTGTCTATCCTTGGGCAGATACCTGGGGCGTTCTAGAAGGTACTTTGGTACCTGAGAGGTGCTTAGTGGGTGTTACTTGGAGAATGAGTAGGAGATGGTAGTGAGGGAATGAGTGAAGGTGGCAGAGAAAGATGATCAGTAAATACGGGAGTTAAGATATTGCAAAAGAATCTTTGGGGCTCCAGTATGGAATGTAAGGGATGATGTGACCAGTTGGAAGAAGCTTCAGGCTCTGGTCTGACTTCCGCTTCCTCCTGCTTTGCATGGGCCCAGGTTCCGGGAGGAGGACTACACTGTACATGTGCGGCTGAATGACTACCTGGACATCATCTGCCCGCATTATGAGGACGACTCCGTGGCAGACGCCGCCATGGAGCGGTATACATTGTACATGGTGGAGCATGAGGAGTATGTGGCGTGCCAACCCCAGTCCAAGGACCAGGTCCGTTGGAAGTGCAACCAGCCCAGTGCCAAGCATGGCCCAGAGAAGCTGTCGGAGAAATTCCAGCGCTTCACACCTTTCACCTTGGGCAAGGAGTTCAAGGAAGGACATAGCTACTACTACATCTGTGAGTACGCAAGGGACAGGTCACAGAGCACTGGTGGCCGGCCGCATGCGCTTGGCTGCTTATTTAGTGGAGAGCCAAGTAGTAGCCCAGAGCCCCCCAGCCCTTCCAAGTCTAAACTCAGTTTTCTCTAATTCATAGCACAGATGTGGAACGAGCTTCAGGTGTGTCCCAGACACTCTGGCACATGGACACAACATAACTAAAACACCCCTGGCCCCTGTCCTCAAGGAAGCTGGGAAGGAACCCAGATAAATCGTCAGGCCAATAGAAGAGTGTGATGTGACAGACATGAACACAGGGCACTTGGGGAAATGACCTGTGCCCCTGCCAAAGACAGAAAAGACTGAGGTTGGGGTGACAAGGACAGGTGGCACATTCCCAAAGGGAGCATGACCGCTTCTGGAGCTCCCGGGATGAGAGGCATACAAGAAATAGAGTGATGGGCTTGGACGGTGGCTAAGACAGATTCTTGGAGCCCAAACACTAGTAGGAGTTTAGACTTTCTCCTGAGGGTAGCAGAAACCCATCGATGAATCCTGAGCGTTACAAGGTCTGGGCTTTGTGAAGGCTAGATCCAGTGCTTATTCTCTGGGTGAGTCTAGGCCAGCATGGTAGAAAATGGCCCAGGGAAAGGGAAATTACACTGTGAACACCTCATCCAACTTCAGGCTGGGAGTCATGAAAGATGGAATGTGTGGAAGGGACACGCTCCACGTTCCTGTCACTACCACTGCTAAAGTTGAGTGCTATTCCAGAGAATGAGAGATGGGACTGAACATTGATCAGAAAGTAGGCAAAAACTGAAGATAAATATCAAGGCTAGGCTAGGCACAGTGGCTCACACCTATAATCCTGGCACTCAGGAGACTGAGATAGGAGGATTGGTGTGATTTAGGGGCAGCCTGGGCTACAGACAAAGTTTCAGGTCAGTGTGGGCTACAGTGAGACCATGCCTAAAAAAATTGGGGTAGGGACTGGATGGTGGTGGCACATGCCTTTAATCCCAGCACTCGGGAGGCAGAGACAGGTGGATCTCTGTGAATTCGAGGCCAGCCTGGTCTACAGAGGGAGTTCCAGGACAGCCAGGGCTATACACAGAAAAACTCTGTCTCAAAAAAAACAAAGCAAAACAAACAAACAAACAAGTAAATAAATAAATAGCAGTTACTGCACAAACCTGACAACCTAAATTCTGTCCAGAACCCACATCAAAAGTCAGATACAGTGGCCTGCATCTGTAATCCCAGCACTCCTGTGGGGCGATGGAAGGCAGGAACAAGAAATTAGCCTTGCTGGGCTGTGGTGGTCCAAGCCTTTAACTCCAGCACTTGAGAGGCAGAGACATGTGTATCTCTGAGTTTGAGACCAGCCTGGTCTGTATAGTCAATCTCAGGACTGCAGGGGCTTTGTAGAGAGACCCTGCCCCCCCAAAAAAATATATATACATAAAAAAGAAAGAAAGAAAAGAAGAAAATCAGCCTTATCAAGCAAGCAGTGCAGAGGCAAGATGGAAGGCCAGAACCGACTCCCAATGTTTGTGTCCTGTCTTTCCCACGTGTGCCACGGCGTACACTAAAGAAGAAGAAAGAACAATTTAAAAGTAAATAAAATTTATTTATTGGTTGGGTATGGTGTTGAGTGCTTTTATCCAGCGCTCAGGAGGCAGAGGCAGGTACATTTTTGTGAATTTGAAGCTAGCCTGGTCTACATAATAAGTTCCAAGGCAGCCAATGCCACATAGTGAAATCTTGTTTTAAATAAATTAAAAAAAAAAAAATAAAGTAAACAGGGCACTGAGGAAGCAGAGTCAGATTTGAGTTCATATCTTCTATCAAAGGCCCTTTCCTTAACATCCTTTGGATTTATTTTACAGCCAAACCTATCTACCATCAAGAAAACCAGTGCTTGAAGCTGAAGGTGACGGTCAATGGCAAAATCAGTGAGTGTCAGGCCCCGTGGATGCCTCCTTCCACCCATGCTGAGCTTGGTCCAGCGGTCTGGGAGGGGGCGGAAGTTGCCTCTCCGCCTCCCATGGCAATACCTCATCTCCTACCATTTTTATCTTTCAGCTCACAGTCCTCAGGCCCACGCCAATTCACAGGAGAAGAGGCTTCCAGCAGGTAGGGAGCTAGAGCCAGTTGGGCCAGGGTCACAGGAAGGGGGTTTCTAAAGCCACCCAGGGCCTGGCGCCGTCCTGTTGGGTGGAGGCCGGTGCCAGTAGCGGGCCCCTCACCTGTCGGTCTTTGCCTCCTCACCCCGCAGATGACCCCGAGGTTCGGGTCCTGCACAGCGTGGGAGACAGCGCTGCTCCTCGCCTCTTCCCGCTGGTCTGGGCTGTGCTGCTCCTGGCGCTGCTGCTCCTGCAGACCCAGTGAAGGTGTGTGCTTCACCGGGCTCAAGGATTGCCACTGGGCTGAGGGGCGGGGACAAGCACCCCGAAGCTCCAGCCCCGGGAACCACTCCCACCCCATGCACAAGCTGCCACCCTGAAGCCTCAGAAGGTTCAGTATTAAGGGTTTCAACCCAAAGGAGTTCAACCCGCCTGACTGTGCCGTTCCTGCCTCCACTTCAGAGGGACGGAGAAGGAAGTGGGGAAGGTCCTTTCCCTGCGATTTCTACCTTTAAGCCAAAGACACAGGCTGTGCAGGCCGGCCTGGCCCATTTCGAGGGCCCAGTGGGAGATGAGCTGGAAGGGCCTGAGGTCATGTAGTTGGACGCTAAAGACGCCCTTCCCCGAGGAAGCCATGATGTCCAGATGAACTGACTGAAGGAAATGCTTGAGACAGCTTCCTGCGTGGGAGCCAGGTACAGGAGAGGCAGCATGCTTGGGCTGACCCAGCATCTCTGCAAGATTTCCACCTGCTGAACTGCCAGAGAGGTTCGTAGCCAGGCACTGACTGCATCCTCCCCATCCTTCGGGCAGCATTCCCTGGAGCTGTGCCAACATGAGGACTATGCTGTTCAGAGTAGAGCTGTAAGGGCAGTGCCCTTGTGTACAGTCTGTGTAGTGTAGCCTACAGGGCAGGGCCCACATGTACAGTGTCTGTAGATAAACGTGCTGTGTCTGCTCATTTCTACAACTGGAGTTTTTTTATACCGTGTTCTTGGACTCATAATAAAGTAATGTTTTTGTTTTTTTGGACGTGTTTTTCTGCCCCTCTATGTCGATGTATGATCACAGAGTCCCTACTCGTGTATTGGGCTCAGCGCCACCTCAGAAGCAACCGGGGCTGGTGTGGTGCACACCTGTAACCCCAGCTACTCTTGTGGCTGAGCTGGGAAGACAGCAAATTTAAGATAAGCATGGACAACTCAGACCTTGCCTCAAAAGCAAAAATGAGGGGCTGGGAATGCACCTCAAGAAGTAGAGTGCTAACCTAATATGTGTAAGCCTTGGGTCCAATCCTCAGCAGCGCAAAGTCTAAGTAGCCAGGCATGGCTTGGGTCATGTCTGTAATCCCAGTACTCAGACAGTTGAGCAAGAAGATTGCCAAAATTTCAGTGCCAGCCTGGGCTACAGTGTGAGACCTTATCTCACAAAATAAATAAGTAAAAGACAAAACATAGTAAATGGCTAGGATGGGGGGGGGGGAGGTGTAAGACACAACTTGGTTTTTTTTTTTTTATTTATTTACTTATTTATTGTTGTTGTTGTTTTCGAGACAGAGTTTCTCTGTGTAGCTTTGGAGCTTGTCCTGGATCTCGCTCTGTAGACCAGGCTGGCCTCGAACTCACAGAGATCCGCCTGCTTCTGGCTCCCAAGTGCAGGGATTAAAGGCGTGCACCCCCATCACCGCCGCCCCGCTTGGTTTTAATTTCTTTCTCTTTCTAAAAAATACATGCTTCTTACCAGGCCAAAGGGAGGGTGTTTCCTCCTCTGGGGTCTGCAGGAGAATTCCCTATAGTAGTGAGCTGGCTTCCTCACCGCGCGCCCCATTCTGTACGTTCGCTCTTCCTGTCCAACCTCTCATCCCACTCATCAGCCTCAAGCGCGGGGCTCTGGCATACCATACAGGTACTCATGCTGTCTGGGTGAGTCAGGGAGCTGGATGCCAGCTTGTGCACAGCCCCACCAGCAGAGCTGCGTGGGAGGCTGCGAGGGAAAGTTCCCAGCAGCAAGTGTGTTGGAACAGGGGGCCAGGGGTAGGACTGTCCATGGATAGGGCAGGTTGTGCAAGGGCGGGCATCTGAAGGAAGATGGCAACTCCTGTCAATACCTGCTGTTTAGGGGACAGGCTAACAAGGTTTCAATAACCTCCAGGGCAAACCTCCCAAAGCTGAGGAACCAAGGCTCTGATAGGGAGCGGTGAATAGGAGGAGCGCTGAAGACGGGGTGAGACTGAATTTGTTGTTTGCCTTCTTGCATACAAGGACAGGAAGAAACACAGAAGTTGAGGCGGGTGGTCTAGATGACCCAAAGAGTGAGCAGCGTGTGGGGAGGGGCCCTGTCGGGGACAAATGCACGGTCCCTACTAAAACCATGGAGCGCACTCCGAAGGGGAGGCTCAGGAACCCAGCCGGCACGCAGCAGCCAAGCACCCGCCAGCACGCAGCGCGGCTGCGGCAGGGGCCCCAGTTCCGGTGCCGTTCTGGCGAGGGCGGGTTCCGGCGCCGTTCGGCGGGAGGGGCGGGGCTTCGCGGCCGCCGGCTCTGGGCCCGAAGAGCTAGTGCACAGTCCTGGGCGAGGGAACCGACTCGGTGGGATGGAGGCGGGCGGCGTGGCAGACTCTTTCCTTTCCGGTGCCTGCGTGCTCTTCACCCTGGGCATGTTCTCCACTGGCCTGTGAGAGCGCGGAGGGACTGGGCTGGGGAGAGGACTAGGAAATCAGGGAAGTGGTAGGAAAGTGGTCAAGAGACGTGGCTCCAATTCCGGGCTGCATCTGGAACCCAGAATGAAAGTGGAGGAGAGTTGGGTGATCTGGGGTGCTAAGGCGAGGCTGGCCCCTCGGCCTGAGTCGGGGAGATCTGCTTGTCGTTCAGGGTGGGTGACAAGCACTGAGGAATCGTCTACCCATTCCTAACAATTCCCTTTGGGTCCCCTTCCAGCTCGGACCTCAGGCACATGCAGAGGACACGGAGCGTGGACAGCATCCAGTTCCTGCCTTTTCTCACCACGGATGTCAAGTGAGAGTATCGTTGGCTGTGATGGGAAAGGCTGAGGGAGGCACAAGAGGTCCCTGGGGACCCCCTGCCACACTCAGCCCCTTGGACCATAATCCCCTCCTCTCACAGCAACCTGGGCTGGCTGAGTTATGGAGTCTTGAAGGGAGATGGGACCCTCATCATCGTCAATACCGTGGGGGCTGTGCTTCAGACTCTTTATATCCTGACATATCTGCACTACAGTCCTCAGAAGGTAGAGGCCCTCCCTCGCACCCACCTCAGCAGCACGGCCATGTTAGCAGAGCAGACAGTTTCCTGGAAGACTAGTAGGGTGGCATTACTTCCTTTTCCTAGAAGGTACTTCTGGTTCTCCTTCCCATGAGGCTAAACCTACAAAAAGCACACATGGCCACCCACCCTCCCCTTGCTCACAAGCCTGGTGGTGGCTTACCTGGCCTGAGGGTATCAGTGCTAACCCATTCTCTCCACAGGCTGGGGAGAGAGGGCTCTGCTGTCTCTGATGGTTCCTTTAGAGTTAGAGCCAGGGCCAGTGGCTAAGAATGGCCATTAGCTCTGCTTTCCCACTCAATCACGACTTCCCGTGTATGTGAGGCTCACAAGAAAAGGGGAGGGAGAAAAAGGTAATTTTCCCTTCCCTGGAGACCTCCAGTGTTGTGTGAATGAGACCTCCTTCAAGTCATTGGTGAAATAGAGACTGACGTGAAGGCTGGGATAAAAGTTGATTTCCCCATTAGAGCATGGACGAAGGCAGGATGCAGCAATCCCCCGCAGAGAAATGAGTGTTCTGGTACAGATGCAAGTAAGACGCTTCTCCCCTGCAGCATGCTGTGCTCCTGCAGACCGCAGCCCTGCTGGGGGTCCTGCTCCTGGGTTATGGCTACTTTTGGCTTCTGGTGCCAGACCTTGAGGCCCGGCTCCAGCAGCTAGGCCTCTTCTGCAGCGTCTTTACCATCAGCATGTACCTCTCACCATTGGCTGACCTGGTGAGTGGGGTGGCCAAGAGGTAGGGGAGATCAGGGCTAGGCTCCCTTAGCCAGAGACTGGCTAATGCTCCAGAGGAAAATAGATCCAGCTCCTGGAAGGAGGCCAGACAAGGTGGGTGAGTGGGATGCAGGAGAGGGCTGGGGTGAAAGATCAGAGGGATCTTTCAGAGGGATCTTTCAGAGGATATTCTTAGGCAAGGTGTAGGAATGGTACTATGCACCTGAACCAGGAGTGTTTTTGCCACAGGCCAAGATCATTCAGACTAAATCGACCCAGCGTCTCTCTTTCTCACTCACCATTGCCACCCTCCTTTCCTCCACCTCCTGGTCCATCTACGGGTTTCGACTCAGAGACCCTTACATCACGGTAAGAAGATCCTGAACGGGACGGCGAGTCTCCAAAGCAGAAACTAGTTCCTGTCTTTATAGCAGCTTTTTGGTTGCAGGTACCCAACCTTCCAGGAATCCTCACCAGCTTGATCCGCCTTGGGCTTTTCTGCAAGTACCCCGCAGAGCATGACAGGAAATACCGACTTCTGCAGACCTGACCACAGCCATCTTAGGGCCAACGTGATACCAAAAAGAGCTCTTGTTTCTGCTGGTCCTCCTGACCAATTCCATGGATGCAATGGGTTGTGAGAAAAAAAGCTGATTTTGAAAATAGAGGGATCAAGGAAAGACCTTTACGTAGATCGGATGGGACCTATGGGATGAAATCACATTTTTTAAAGAGATGATCTTTTCTCATTTTGGAGGCTGAGGTGGTATCTTTAGAATGTGCCCTAAAATAAACTGTTCCCTGCCCCTGCCTGCAGGCCTTGTGCATTCTTCCTGACCTGATAGGAGGTGGGTCTAGTGACTGACATCGAGGATTGGCTCAGAAAAGGTATTCGACTGACCGTTAAGTCACAAAGACCTGGAAGACCTTTTAAAAAGAAAAAAAACTTCAAGGTTATTAAAAAAAAATGGAAGTTAGGTATACATACTTCTTGCCCAGCTTTGTGTGGGAAGCCTACAATCTCAGCATTTAAGAGTTTGAGGCAGAGCCGGGTGGGGGTGGTGACTAACCACCTTTAACCTCAACACTCAGGAGGCAGAGGCAGGCAGATCTCTGACTTTGAGGCTAGCCTGGTCTACAGATTGAGTTCCAGGACAGCCAGGGCTACCCAGAGAAACCCTGTCTCGAAAAACAAAGAGGTTGAGGCAGGAGGACCACAAGGTTGAGGGCAGCCTGGGAACATGGCAAGTTGTAGGCTAAGTCAGACTACTCAGTAAAACCATCTAAACAAATAAACAAAACAGGTTTGGGATGTAGCTCCGCTGAGGGCCGGCAGGTTCGATCCCCAGCACCTCATAATCTAGTCATGGTAGTTTAGTGTGTTAATTAGAGGAGATGAGAGGTAGAGAACCAAGAGCATCCTCAGCCATATGCCTGGGTTCGAGGCCAGTCTGGGACCCATGAGATCCTATTTCAAAAAAAAAAAAAAGTGAAGACAGAACACCACCAAAACGCAAGGCTAAAAGCCTGGGAAGATGGCTCTCCCGCCTCGCACTTCTTGACTTCTGGTACACAGAATCCCCAGTACTTATCCTCCATACTCAAACTAAGCAAGGCTAGAAAATAAAAACTGCACTTTAATGGGGAATGAGCAAGGATGTCGGGACAGGAATGGGTGAAGGTGTCAGAAGCGTAGCCCCCTGCGGGTTAAGTCCGCTCGAGCCTCCAGGATCTGGCTCTGCAACTCTTGGGCGGCGTCCTCACAGTCGTGAAACGTGGCCACGCGATAGCCCACAGTGCCCAGGGCATAGCAACCAGCGGACACCAGCAGGTAGGCAGGCAGTGGCCACAGAACCTCCTGGTAAGGGAAAGGCAGCTCCAGGCCCAGAGCTCCCATGGTCAGGGCAGCCCAGGCAGAGCCCAGGAGCGCCAGTCCCCAAAGCCACTGGGTTAACTTCGTCATGGTCGCTGCAAAGAGAGAAATCAAGGCTAGAGATCCTTTCTACCATTACCCGCTCTGCCTCTGACACTCACTCCCAGTCAGTGCCACCCCCTTTCACCTTTCCACTCAGCCCGCCACCCAAGCGTACCTCTGGGCGTCGCGCTGACTTCACGGTCCGCATCAGCGTCGGAAGTCCTCTTCTACTACCTCCCTTCCTCCGCACTGCCTTCTGGGAACTGTAGTTCTCAGCACAAAGCCTGGGGAACTTCCGGTCGCGCTCTGGTCCGGGAAGGTTGCAGAGCCCTCCTCGGATATCGCCGGCTAAGAGTTTTTGCGCTGCTTTTTCTGGGGACCCAGACCTAAACTGGATAGACTTGTGGAAAGTCTTGAGAATACACTAAAACATTGCAGTAAGAGAGGAATGTCATATCGTCTGTGGTGATACATTGCTTGTACTCTTAGTAAAATGTGCCTGAAGATCAGAGGACAGAACAAGCCGCTAGTTGAAACATAGAGGCCAGGCAGTGGCGGCACACACCTTTAATCTCGGGAGGCAGAGGCAGAACCGTCTGGATCTCTGTGAGTTCAAGGCCACGCTGGGCTACACGAGATTACTCTAAAAAAGAAACAGAGCCAGGCAGTGGTGGCACACACCTTTAATTCCAGCACTTGGGATCACACACCTTTAATCCCAGCACTAAGAAGGTTGAAACAGGAAGTGATATGGCTGGGCAGAGAAAGGAATAGAAGGCAGGAGGAGGCAGGAACTCTGGCTCCCACTTTCAGGCTGAGGAGTTGGTGAGGTAAGAGGTGGTGGCTGTGGCTTGCTCTGCTTCTCTGATCTTTCAGTTTTCACCCTGATATCTGGCTTCGGGTTTTTATTACAAGACTGATTAGGATTCGTGCAACAGTGGTCCCCCTTAAACTCAGTTCTCCAGCGCAGATACCCCACTCATTCAGTTATTCAAGCGTTACTCCAACACTCCCACCAAACACTGGAGATGCCCATGCCGCCTCACACCTGCTAGGCGAGTACTCTACCACTGAGCCCTTTTTATTTTGAAACAGGATTTTACTAAGTACTCAGGATGAACTTGAACTCCAGTTTGAGACCCTGTCTGAGAAACAGGCTGGTCATGGTCAGAATGGCACGTACTTAAGATTCCAGAGCAACTCCACAAAAGAAGAAAGAGGAGCATTGCAGAGTAAGATAAAGGGTTGGCTTTAGAATTCCAACTTAAATAAAACAAGAGGGGTTTTTGTTTGATTGCTTTGGTTTGTTTGGGTTTAAAGTCTGTATGTGTGCATATGTGTGTCTGTGTGAGCATATGCTATGTACATTCAGGTGCCTGCAGAGGCCAGAAGAGGATATCAGATCCCCTGAGCTGGAGTTACAGGCAGTTGTGAGCTGTGTAACATCGGTGCTGGGAACCAAACTCAGGTCCTTTGGAAGAGCAGCAAGTGTACTTAACTGCTGAGCCTTCTCTCCAGCCTGGGTTCTGTTTTGCTTTGCTTTGAGACAGAGTCTAGGACTCCAGGCCGGCCTAGAGCATGGTGTGTGGCTGAGAATGACAATGAACTCTTGATACTCCCGCTTCTGCTTTCCAAGGGCTGGATCACAGGCACATGTCACCAAACCCAGCTGGAAGCAGTTCTGTTGGCTTCAAGGTCAGCAGAAGAGTAAGTGAAGGAATCCAGAAGTTCTAAGCCAGGAAAGATGGGACATACCTAAAATATCAAGACTCGGGAGACAGGAGGATTACTCCAAGTTCAAGGCCAACGTCAGTGACATAAGGAAGATCCTGTTTTTTTTTTTTTTTTTTTTTAAGAAATCTGGTCTGAGTGGATTGAAGGTCCACTTAGAAACTCCAAAGTAAAGAAAAAGGTAGACTGTAATGTTCAAAGATCCACTGTTCAAAGCTTTGTACCTGGATTTGGAAATCCAGACTACTTTGGTATGTCAAAAAGTAATCTATAGGGCTGGAGAGAGAGCTCAGCAGTTAAGAACACTGGCTGCTCTTCCAGAGGACCCCATGGGCTCTATTCACAGCACCCTTATGATGCCTTCAACACTCTAACTCCAGTTCCAGAGGATCTGGTGCCCTCTTAGTACACAGACATACATACAGGCAAAACACCCATACATATAAAATAAAATAGAAACTGTTGTGGAATATTCCTTTACACTGTGTGAAGATGTATCACTGTGATTGGTCTAATAAAAAGCGAAACTGCCAATAACTAGGCAGGAGGTATAGGTGGGACTTCTGGACAGAGAGAGCTCTGGGAAGAAAAAAGACAGCGTTGCCAGCCAGAAGCAGAGAGAGAGCAAAACATGGGGGAAGAGAGGTAAGAGCCACGAGTCACGTGGCAACGTGTAGATGAATAAAAATGGGTTATTTTAAGTTATAAGAGCTAGTGGGACAAGCATAAGCCATAGGCTGAGCTTTCATAATAATCATAAGTCTCCATGTCATTTTTTTGTGAGCTGGCAGCCCAAAGAAAACACTGACTACAAGAAACAAAACCAAAACACCTCATTTTCTCAAAGCCTTCACTGTTTATCAGCAATTATTATTTAAAAAAAAAAAAAAGAAAGAAAAATAAAGTAATCCACATACTCAGACTACCAGGCAAGAATAGGATGTGCCATTTCCATCAACTGACTTCAAATAGCAAAGCTGTAGTTTGTGAGTAAAAGGGGAATTTCTCAGCCCTGTGTCCTTGAAGCTGATCAGCAAAGCAGATTTTACAGAGTGACACTCTTAGCCCAAGTTCCTGATTCATCCTCAAAACTTTTTGTTTGTTTTTGTTTTTTAAGATGGGATTTCTCGGTGTAGCCTTGACTGTCCTGGAACTCACTCTGTAGACCAGGCTGGCCTCAAAATCTAGAGTTCTACCTGCCTCTGTCTCCCAAGTGTGCCACCACCACCTGGCCTCAAAACTTAATTTTTTTTTGGGTGGGGGGTGGGGTTTTGAGACAGGATCTCACTGTGTGACTCTGGCTGTCCTTGATCTCGCTCTGTAGACCAGGTTGGCCTCAAACTCACAGAGATCCCTCTGCCTCTGCCTCCCAAGTGCTGGGATTAAAGGCATATGCCACCCGGCTAATTTTTTTAAGTTTTGAGAGCATAATTATATCACACACACACACACCCCGCATTTCCTTTCTACAACCCCTCCCTTGCTCTCTTTCAAATGCATGGCCTCTTTTTAATTCTTTTAGATTTGTATTCCATGTGTCTATGTGTATCAATGTTATGCCTGTATGTACTTGTACACCGTGTGTGTGTGTGTGTGTGTGTGTGTGTGTGTGTGTGTGCGTGTGTGTGTACATTCCTGAATATATAAATACAACCTGTTCAGTCAATATAATGTTATTTGTATGTTTTTAGGGCTGATCATTTGACATGCTCTTCTGGGGAAGACTGTTTCTCCTGTTCCTCTAAGATTCCTTAATCGCCTGTAGTTCTTTGTCTGGGTTGAGACCTCACGAGCTTCCTCCTTCATGCCTGTTGGTGTGGTCCTGGTTAGGCAGCCCTGTTGGTGAGACTTCATGCACGTAGCTTCTCAGACATTTCTAGGCGATGAAATCTCACAGCTGATTCACTGATCCTCTGGCTCTCCTCAGCTTTCTCTCCTCAAAATTTCCTTTCCTTTCTTTCTTTTTTTTTTTTCCTCTCTAAAGTTTTCTTAAATAGCCTTGCTTTGTAGCTCTGACTGGGCTGGCCTGATACTCATTATGTATCCTAGGCTAGCACTATTTACATTCCTTCTGAGCTCAGTTTTCACACTAATAATGATGCAAAATTTGATTATTAATTTAGCTAAAAATTAGAATACATTTAAATTAAAAAGGTAAGATAGGGAACTATGTTAGGAAAATGAGGATTAGTGACATTTAAATCCTTATTCGATGGCATGCAGTCTCTTAGGAGACCATGCCAGCAGCACAAAGTCCTGGTTTCAATCCCCAACATCACCAAAAAAATGAAAAATAAAAGAAACTGGAAGGAAGGAAAAAAATCATACAATCATATTTTATCTAGAAAAATAGGTAAGGGGCTGGAGAGATGGCTCAGTGGTTAAGAGCACTGACTGCTCTTCCAGAGGACCCAGGTTCAATTCCCCGTCACCCACATGGCAGCTAACAACTGTCTGTAACTCCAGTTCCAGGGGATCTGACACCCTCACACAGACATTCATGTAGGCAAAACACCAATGCAATGAAATAATAATAGATAAATAATTTTTTTAAAAAAAAGAAAAATATAGGCAAATCTTAGAAGCAGCAGCTTCCGGCTGAGAATGTTGATGTGGAGAAACAGGAATACAGGGAAGTGAGAAGGGAGAACGGTTTTCATCAGATGCTTGTAGAACTGATTGGCTTTTAAAACTATGTAAATTCCTTTTTGTTTTGTTTTGTTTTGTTTTTTGTTTGTTTTCTGAGACAGGGTTTCTCTGTGTAGCTTTGGAGCCTGTCCTGGAACTCACGCTGTAGCCCAGGCTGGCCTCGAACTCACAGAGATCCTCCTGGCTCTGCCTCCCGAGTGCTGGGATTAAAGGCGTGCACCACCTTTGTTAAGGTTGTAAGTTCCTTTGTTAAAGAAATTTTTGTTTTGTTTTGTTTAAAGAAAAATGCTTCCCCCCCTCCCCAGGTGATGACCTCCCTATTCGGACATGCCTCTCACAAAGGCTATCCCTTATCCCTCTCCAGAAGAAAAGAGGAAACAGCAGAAGCAGTGCCTGGTGCAGAGCCCCATTCCTACGTCATGGACATGAAATGCCCAGGATTTTTCTAATCCCCATGGCCTTTGTCCACACCCAAATGCTGTCTCTCATGTTAGCTGCTCCACTGTGCTCTTCAGCCTACAGGAGGGGAAGTGATGCTGACAGAGGGCGGGGCCTTAGGTCTACTCAGGAGGGGGCGGGGCCTTAGGTCTGCTCAGGAGGGGGCAGGGCCTTAGGTCTACTCAGGAGGGAGGCGGGGCCTTAGGGCTACTCAGGAGGGGGCGGAGCCTTAGGGCTACTCAGGAGGGGGCGGGGCCTTAGGTCTACTCTGGAGGGAGGCAGACACAGGCCTGGTTAGGCCCCTGCTAGATCAGAACTAGAGAAGCAAGCCAGGCCTTGGTGCTCTACATCTTCTTCAACCTCCCAGCTTCAGCCCTTAAGAAATAAAGAGAGGGGTCTGGAGAGATGGCTCAGAGGTTAAGAACACTGGCTGTTCTTCCAGAGGTTCTGAGTTCAATTCCTAGCACCCATATGGTGGCTCACAACCATCTGTAATGAGATCTGGCTCCCTCTTCTGGCCTGCAGGGATACATGCAAACAGAACACTGTATACATAATAAATAAATAAATCTTTAAAAAAAAAAAAGAAATAAAGAGAATTCAATAATGATCATGGGCAGAAAAACAACCATTCACTCAGAGGCTTGTGGGCATCTTGGCCTGTGTGACACTGCACTGTTTAATGTTGACAACATTATACAATAGGTTTTTTTTTAATTTTATTTTTATTTCTGTGTTTGTCTGTGTGTGTGTGTGTGTGTGTGTGTGTGTGTGTGTGTGTATCACATGTGTTCTGGTACCAGCAGAGTCCAGAAGAGTGTGTTGGATCCCCTGGAGCTGGAATTCCAGGCAGTTGTGAGCTGCCGACATGGGTCATGTCCTCTGCAAGTGCAGCAGCTGTCCTTAACCACTCCAACCCCTTCAGTAGGTAGTTTTTTTGGTTTTTTTTTTTTTTTTTTTCGAGACAGGGTTTCTCTGTGTAGCTTTGCGCCTTTCCTGGAACTCACTTGGTAGTCCAGGCTGGCCTCGAACTCACAGAGATCCGCCTGGCTCTGCCTCCCGAGTGCTGGGATTAAAGGCGTGCGCCACCACCGCCCGGCAGTAGGTAGTTTTTAATTAGTATTTCTATGAAATTCATAGACTGTATTCTAATCCACTCATTCCTCCCCCATGCAGTGGGTATTATTTTTATATGTCCATATATGAGTGAAGAAACAGACACCGAGACTATAAAAAGGTAAGTAGTTTGCCCAAGGTCATGAGACAGAAAGAGGTACTATTGTGCTGTGCATTCTGGGTGATCTCCCTGTTCTGTTTTGCTGGCACAGGAATGGGTAGATAGGGATTATCACAACAAAAGACTAATGGATTGCTAGGTGCCACATGCCATGGGGAGTGCTTAACGTGCATTAGCTCATGCAAGCATCACAAGAGCCGTAGGAAACACATGCTATTATCGTCTCTGTTAGGCACACAAGGAAAATGAAACAGAACCCAGACACTCTGACTCCAGAGATCACCACTAAAATACAGCACCTCCTTCACCAAATCAATAAAACAGAATAAGAAAGGGAAAAACTATAAACTGGGTGTGGTGGCACATGCTTGTAATTCCGGCACTGGGAAGGAGAGAGGAGGAGGAGCAGAGGTTCAAGGTCAGCCTCAGGTACCTAAGGAGTTTCGGCCAGTCTAAGACAGATGAAGCCCTGTGAGAAAGAGAGAGAGAGAGAGAGAGAGAGAGAGAGAGAGAGAGAGAGAGAGAGAGAGAGAGAGAGAGAGAGAGAGAGAGAGGAGAACTGGAGAAATGGCTCCATGGTTAAGAGCACTTATGCTCTTGTGGAGGACCAGGGTTCGGTTCCCAGCACCGCATGGTGACTAACAACTGTCTGTAACTGCAGTTCTGGAGGATCCAATGCCCTCTTCTGAAGGCACTTGTAGGCAGGTGGCACCCAAAACAAATACATCTGCAACTAGTTTACTATTTAAAAAAGAAAGTTAAGTCTCAACCTCATGTCTTAGACCAAAATATCTAGTCCATGGCCTGGAAAGACAGCTCAGCAGGTCAGAGCACTTGCTGCTCTTCTAGAGGGCCTGAGTTCAGATCCGTTCCTAGGTCTGGAAGTTTCACAACCTGTCACTTCAGTTCCAGGGGATTCCATACCTTCCTCTGGGCCTCAGAGAGCACCTGTATATTATACATGGCATAAACATACACACAAACACAAATAAAACCTTTAAAAAAATATATCTAGTCAGGAGGTGGTGGCGCACGCCTTTAATCCCAGCACTCGGGAGGCAGAGGCAGGCGGATCTCTGAGTTTGAGGCCAGCCTGGTCTACAGAGCGAGTTCCAGGACAGCCACGGCTTGTCTCAAACAAACAAGCAAAAACCTTACTACATTTTAAGTCAATACAGGAACCAGATATGATGACTCAGGCTTGTAATCTGAAGCAAGAGGATTGCCGTAAAGTCAAGGCTAGCCTGTACTACAGACTATGTCTGAGGCAATCTTGGAGGCCTTGTCTGAAAAAAAAAAAAACACAAAAATACATTTTTTTATTTTTATTTTTTTTATTTTTTTGGTTTTTCGAGACAGGGTTTCTCTGTGTAGCTTTGCGCCTTTCCTGGAACTCACTTGGTAGCCCAGGTTGGCCTCGAACTCACAGAGATCCCCCCTGGCTCTGCCTCCCGAGTGCTGGGATTAAAGGCGTGCGCCACCACCGCCCGGCAAAAATACATTTTTTTAAAAGTGGCATCAAGAGCCGGGCGGGTGGCGGCGCACACCTTTAGTCCCAGCACTCAGGAGGCAGAGCCAGGCGGTGGTGGCGCACACCTTTAGTCCCAGCACTCAGGAGGCAGAGGCAGGCCGATCTCTGAATTCAAGGCCAGCCTGATCTACAGAGAGAATTCCAGGACAGCCAGGGCTGTTACACAGAGACAACTTGTCTCAAAAAACAAACAAACAAACAAATAAACAAAAAAGTGGCTTCCAGAAGGCATACAACAGGGGTTAATGTTTCTTATTAAGAATAGTTACATGGAGCCGGGCGGTGGTGGCGCACGCCTTTAATCCCAGCACTCGGGAGGCAGAGCCAGGCGGATCTCTGTGAGTTCGAGGCCAGCCTGGGCTACCAAGTGAGTTCCAGGAGAGGCGCAAAGCTATGCAGAGAAACCCTGTCTCGAAAAAGAAAAAAAAAAAAAAAAAAAAGAATAGTTACGTGGAGGCTGGAGAGATGCTCAGTGGTTAAGAGCACTGGCTGTTCTTCCAGAGGACTTGGAATTAACTCCCAATGCTCACAGGGCGACTTACAACCATCAGTAACTCCAGTTCCAGGGGCTTTGACCCCTGGCCTCGGAGGGCACCAGGCATGCCCACAATACACAGACATGCACGCAGACAAAACACCCTTACACATAAAGATGACACCTGCTAAAGACTCACCCTGAACTCACACTCCTCTCTCCCCCATTATAATTCAAAACTGTGAGGGGAGTTACTTCTGCACGGCTAAGCACCTGCCTGGCGGTTGGCACTGTCTACCTTTCTGGCTTAGGTTTTAAAAGGAAACAAATTCTAAACCGGGGGGTTCTTTATTCTAGTCACTGAAGAGTGAGGAATGTGCACTATTAACCAGAACATGGAGGACGGCTTGATCGCCTCAGAGGAGGACTTCATGGAGGCCCAGGAGCCTGACCTGACTGTGGAAAGATGAGTAAGAGGCACAAACCTGAAGAAGAGCCTGAACAAAGACACAGGTATGACAGTTCATGCTGACTAATTCTCTGTGGCTGTCTCCAGGACAAAGAATGCTTCCTGGGTGGAAATAGCAGGAGACGAGGCTGGGAAAACTGGCCCTGGATCAGGTGATTAGAGACCTCTGAGAAGTGTTTGTGTTCTGTTACAGGGCTGGAGAGATGGCTCGGTGGTTAAGAGCACATACTGCCTTACAGAGGATCTGGGTTCAGTTCCCAGCATTTTAGCTCATAATTGTTTATGACTCCAGTCCACGTGATCGACAGCCTCTTCTGATCTCCGGACACCTGTGGACATACCACACATCATAAAAAGAAATCTTTTTTTTTTCTGGTTTTTTGAAACAGAGTCTCTCTATATAGTCTGGCTGTCTTGAAGCTCTCTATGTAGACCAGGATGGCCTCAAACTCATGGAGATCTGCCTGCCTTTGTCTCCCGAGTGCTAGGATTAAAGGCGTGTGTTATCACATCCAGCTTAATAAAAATAAACTGTTTTTAAAAAACTGTTTTGAAGTATTCATGGAGCTGGAGGGATGGCTCAGTGGTCAAGAGCACTTACTCCTGCAGAGGGCCCAAGTTTAGTTCCCATTACCTGCATGGTGGCTCACAACCATCTGTAACTCTAGGGGATCTGGAGCCTTCTTTTATTCTCTGCAGGTACTAGGCACACATATGGTACACACACATACAGGCAGGCACATGATAGACATAAAAATACATAAGTCTTTCAAAAAGTATTTGCATCTGGGGCTTGGGTATCTGCTCAGTCATAGAGAGCTTGCCTAGCATGCACAAGGCCCTTGGGTCAATCTCCAGTCGCTTGGAGAAAAAGGGTGTTTATGTTGGTTAGGGCTTAGTCAGTGCTTTGCTCTCTGACCTGCATACAGGTACCCACAGGTGCCACTCAGGAGATTACTGAGTCCCTCAGGAGGGCTGCAGGTAGTCAGATTGTGTCCATCCCTGCCCTCAAGGTACCCACAGTTTCCTAGGGGCAACAGAACAGTCATACATATAATCAATAAAAACACGCACTGGGAAGATTACAGACAGGCTTTACGGGGAAGTGACAGATCAAAGATGTAGTGCTGATTGGGGAAAGAACTCAGGTGAATCAGGGTTTCCAGGGAACTTAACCTAAAGCACCCAGACAGGAAAAGATGACAGCCTCAGGGAGAAAGGACCCAGAGACAGACCTGGGCAGTTGGCAGAGGCATCTGCCTCGTCTGAGTTCAGTGTTTTCAAGTTGACTCAAGGCAGAAGCTGAGTTTCAACAAAGCCCAGTGTGCCATGGTATGTACTGGTGGCTGTCTTGATTGTCCAATAAACACCTGTGGGGTCTCTGCAAATGCCACACCACCGATTAACAATCTGCATAAGGCAAGAAGGAAATCAGGCTCAACTCGGCTTAGTTAGCTGGTGCTGATTCAGACTTCTGGAGTCTGACTCCGGGCAGTTTATTTTAGACATATTTAAGTACAGTGTAATTTGGGGAAGATTCCTGGTAACAATGATCTCAATCCCATGTGTACAATAAAGCTCCAAGTGTGACTACATCGAAACTCTTTTGCAAAGTACATGTGACCTTTTCCATAAAGGTGCATTCTATAGCTTAAGGACCTAGGATCTGGTCTGGCCCTGTCATACAGATAACACAGAAGTCGCCAAGCTATAAAGCACATGTGACATCTCCCCTAAGGGTGGATTCCATCGACTGAGAAGCAGATGATGAGGTCTAGGGAGGGAGAGTCTGGGATCATGTTGGGGATTTGGCCCTCCAGTTTGCACAGATCCCCAGGCTATTAACCACGTCCACTCCTGGCCTCTGTGTGGAAAACAGGTACACATCTCCCCCACTGAGGAGACAGCTCTGCGTGGTTAACATTCCTGGTTTCCCTAGTGCCTGTCTGTGAGCACCAGGGCCCCATGCTGGCTACAGTCACCTGTTAGCTGGTGCAGTGGGGTCACTTAGTCTCAGAGAGTCAGGAAACGGAAGCAAGAGGCTGGCATGAGCTTGAGTTTGACAGCAGCCTAGACAACACAGCGAGACTCTGCCGTAAAAAGCAAACAGCTTGGAGCAGAGGTGGATTGAGTGGCAGAGCACTTGCTTAGTATGCACAAGGTTCTGGGTTTGAACCCTCACTTCTGCAAAAGAGAAAAAAGGTGACTGAGGACTTACTACTAAACAGACCAATCCCTTCCATTCCATGAAGTGGGTGGTGGTAGGGACAGAGACAAGAAGCAAACAAGTATGTACTGTGTATCAAGTAGAGGGAAGCCCGGCGAGCTGGTGCATATCTATCACATAGGAGGCTGAGGCTGAGGGATTGCCACATTGAGACCATCCTGGGCTAGACAGGAAGCATCAAGCCAGCTAGCACTATATAGTACAACTATCTCAGGAAAGCTGGAAAAGGGCTGTGAGGTAGCTCAGTAAGTAAAGGGACTCGTGCCCAAGCCTGAGGACCTGAGTTCTATCCCTGGGACCCACGTGGTGGAAGGAGAGAGCCAACTCCCTGATAGTCCTCTGTTCTCCACAGGCATGCCATCGCACACACAAATAAATAAATGTGATAGCTGTTCTTCTAGAGGACCCTGGTTCAATTCCCAGCACCCACATGATAGCTCACAACTGTCCGTAACTCCAAGATCTGACACCCTCACACAAACATACATGTAGGCGAAACACCAGTGCACATAAAATAAAAATAAATGAATTCAATTTAAAATTTAAAAAAAAAAATGTTTAAGCTGGGGGCAGGGGAGCCCTGGCCATGGGAACAGCAAGTGTGTTGACAGTCTGCTGCCCTGCCAGTCCAAGATTGTGTAGTCTTGAGCAGATAACTTCAGCCCTTCCTGCCTTTTGTGAAAACAGTGCATGAGTCAGGGTTCTCCCACAAAACAGAAGCGGTGGCAGAGAGACTGACAGACTGCCCTTAAAGAATTGGCTCAGCAACCATGGAAGCAGCCAAGTCCAAAGCCTGAGGCTGGAGACCAGGAGAGATCCAGGATTTCAGTTCAAGTGTGAAGGCTGTGTGTGTGTGTGTGTGTGTGTGTGTGTGTGTGTGTGTGTGTGTGTGTGTGTGTGTGGTGATGTCAGGAACCCTTGACTGCTCTCCCATCTCCTTCTTTGAGCAGCATTGCTCATTCAAACCCAGAGTTCCCTTACATGGCTAGTCTTGCTATCCAGTTTGCTCTGGGGATCCCCTGTCTCCATCCACTAAGACTGAAATCACAGACAGGTTACCGCACCCACCTGGCATTTTTTGTGGGTTCTAAGGATCTGAACCCTGTTTTTCACCGTGAGTGCAAGCACGTCGGCCACGGAGCTGTCTCTCTGGCACCCCCCCCCCCCTTTTTTAAGGTAAGTTAATCTCATTTAAAACACATTCCTGATGGGTGTGTAACTCACTGTTAAAGTACCTGTCTATCATGTGAGACCTTACTGCCCTCCCCCGACCAAAAAAAATTGCCATCATCACAGAAGAAACAACCATTTCTCAACTACACGGCTTCCCACAGGATTTAACTCGAATCTTTAGCACTATAATCCAGGTAGCTATGATTAGCCTCATTTAACAGTCAAGGAGTCTAAAGTGTGGAGCAGTCACTCAGTTTGCCCCCGTCCCTCACCTGTTCAGTGTCAGAGTTCAAACTACATCTCAGGTGTCTGATTCAAGATGTAGCTCTTGGTACCAGGGATGTAGCCCGGTGGGTATAGGGCTTGCCACTGTGCATGAGGCCCTGATTCTACACCCAGTACCAAATAATGTTGGGCATGGCGGCCCACACTTGTCGTCCCAGCACTGGAGAGATGGAGGTAGGAGGATCAGAAGTCGATCATCCTCAGCAACACAAAGAATTCAGGCCAGCCTGGGATATATGAAACATTGTCTCAAAAACTAACAGGGGCTGGGAAAAGTGGCACTGCTCAGGTTAAGGGCATTTGGTCTTGCGGGGATCCTGGGTTCGATTCCCAGCACCTATATGGTGATTCACAACCAACCATCTGTAACTCCAGTTCAGGGGGTTCAGTGTCCTCTTCTGACCTCTGCAGGCACCAGGCACACACATGGCGTACATAAATACACACAGGCAAACACTCATACAAATTAAATTAAATTAAATAACAGCCTCAACAGAATCAAAAAGCATCCCTTTCCCAGCCTCACGCTGCCCACAGATCTAACACTGGCCTGGAACACAGTCTAGAAACAGAGCAGGAAGGGGTGGTCTCCTGCAATGCTAACTCCTGCTGGTCTAATACCCTCACACAGGCCATATACACAAATTCCAGCCCCAGAAATCCCTTGAAATAGCTTGAAGTCAGTGCTCAAGGCAGCTCTACCCAGACACAAAGAGTATAGTTTTTCTCCGTGTCACCTGGGGCAGTAATCCTGGTCCCCAGGTTCCCTGAGCATACGGGAGCATCTGCCTCTTGCCCTGGAGACCTCCCGGGCTTTTCTTTTCCAGCTTTCTCGAGGTGTGAGAAGTTCTCAGGGAACCTCGATGCTTCCTCCTCACAGGTTAGGAAAGCCATTTGGTTCAGGCTTTATTGCTTCCAGGGGCGTCCAACTAAAATTTCTGGTGTTATTTCCCAATGTAGCTAAAGTCACAGCTACTCCAGTAAAACAGAAAGAAGGAATTTGCCATAAAACTGATTGAACTTTTGTTTCTGAGTTTGCATATACACAAAACACAGACTAGCCCAATGAATCTGGTGTGCCCATTACCACAGATCTTGAAGGGATAAAATAGTAGCTTAATTTCTCTCGTGGGAATTTCCATAAATCCTGTAATGATCTCATGGGTAGCACAATTGGAACACTGTGTTAAGGACTGTTCATTTCGAGCTAGGGATATGGCTCAGGGTAGAAAGGGCTTGTGTGAGGGCAAGAGTTCAGATTGCTAGAACCCATTTAAAAGCTAGGCAGGCACGGCAACCTCCTGTAATCCCAGCTCACAGGACACAGGGACAGGGGATTCCCTGGGCAAGCTGGCTAGCTTGACTTGCCAGAATCTGTGAATTCCAGATTCACTGAGAGACTCTATCTCAGTAAATAAGTAGGGGAAAACTGAGGAAGACACTAGACTTCAACTTTGGGCCTCCAACCTTGCATGCATATGTGCATACACCCATCTACCCACGTATTTGTGAATATGCATACAAGTGTGCACACCACACTCAATACATGCAAGAAAAATATTAATTTGTTAAGTAGAGACGTGCCTGGTTTTTCCAGCTGTAGCTGGAACCTCTATAGATATAGGGACCTAGATCTCTCTCCAACTGGCAACAGATCTGAATCCCAGGAAGGAGCTGCTGAGACCTGTGGGCCACAATCCCACCCTGTACAGGCTCACTGCTGAAGAGGCTAGTTGGGTGTGGCTGTCCCTTGGAGCCCAAGGGGAAGCTTTGAAGTCTATATTACCAGTGGTTGGCCTATAGCTGTTTGCTATAGATATTGAGAATGTCCAGCTCTATGGCCAATTAGGAGCTTCTCTCTCTGCCTCTGCAGGAACTCAACCAAGTAGCGTTTATGGTACAGTTTTATAAGTCCAACTGGCTCTCAGCCCTGGAAGGGGTGGATTGGGGAGCGAGATCCTGGCTCTGGCCCTTGAGCCTCCAGAAACTTCCATTTCCCTTAAAGGGAGGCAAAGAAATGTACCTACAGGGAACAATTAAGGACCTAGGCTGTCTACCTCGGGGCTCTGACCATTGTTTGCTTAGGAGGCAGCAGTATTTGTAATATACGTCAAAGGCTGCGCAGGGTAGACTGTTGGAGTCCCCCCAAAGAAGACAGGGCTGCCAGCTTCCCGTTTTACCAGGTTCCCACAGAGCCTGCCACCCGATGACTTCACAGTGAACTTCAGAGTATACCTTTCACTGAATCTTTCTCTTGGGTATCTGTCTCTGTGTCTCTCAGCATCTCTGTCTCTATGGGTCTCTGGCCTGCTCTTGTTTCCCAACATCCTTCCAGAGGCCCTGGGGAGCAGAGCTGTGGAGGCAGGGGGGCAGTGGGAACAGGACAGTGTCCGGTTCTCACCAAGGACAATAAGGGGCGGAAAGGGCTGGAGCCAAGGCCTGGCGCAGACTAGCCTTCCCGCCTGCCCTGGGCGCCCCCAGGTCCCGCCCTGTCCCACTGGTATGCCCTAAATGCCAGGCGCTCTTTCATGCCAATGCCTGTCCCGGGGAGGGAGGCCAGCCCTGCCTACTTGCCTCGGTCTCAATGTCCCACTGTCTTCTTGGAGGGTGGCATCACCTTTGACTCCCAGGAGCACCTCAGGTCAGGGGCCAGAGGCCTCCCGCCGGGCTACACCGACTCCGCCCACGTATTATTTACTCCTGTTTCCGGAGTTGGCGGCGGGTGCCTGCGGGTGTCACTGCCACGTGTGAGTGAACAGGAGGAAACATCTGGCTCCCTCTGTCCTCCAGGGGGATGCCCCTCTCTCCCTCGGGTCTGCTGCCTCCCGGGTGGAGGAGAGTCCCAAGAGCCCCAGGTTCCTTTGCCCGGTTCACCTTCAGCTCTGGGAAGCCACCGTGTCCTCAGGCCCCTTTACCTAATGATGGTGATTAGAGGCTGTGATATCCCTGCCAGGGTTAATTGGCAGGTCAGCTGTGCACAGCCTACAACTAGACACCACAGATAGGCTGAGTATAAAGCTGCTATTGGCGCCGACCTGCCTTGTAAATCCACCATTCCTGAGGAGTGGGTCATTACTCCTGAAGCACACACGGCCCCAGGTCCTACATGGTAGATGGTAGCAGGTGCCTAGACCCCTTAGCCCTGCTAAGACACCTGTTCTCTGGTCTTCCCCTCAGTCCCCTAGCCATAGAAACGATGCTATCTGCCTGGCTCCACCGAGCCAGCCTTCTGGAAGCCTCTAGACACTCAGGAAGCCTTCTCCCAGGACTGTATGTGCTCTACCACTGCTCCCACTCCAGGTGTGGAGAAAAAGTCAGAGCGCCCTACACATCATCACAGCCCTTACTTCCCTGCGATCTCACGAGGAGAACCAGGAGCCTGGAACGCCATCCTCAGGAAGACAGACTGCGACCTCCACTGGAAACTCTGCCCAAGGGTTGGAAGGGAGGCTTCTACCCTCCCAGGACCCTTGGCTTCCCCAGGTAGGCTTTCAGAGAACTAGAGCACCCCCTAGCCGCCCTCTGGGGACAACCTGCAGGGAGCAGGCTAAGTGTCCAGGACAGATGAGCTCACAGCGCCCTCTGCAGGCACTTTGTGTAAGCTGTGTGGTGCTCCCTCCCCCAGGGACAGGGAAAGCTAGGGTATGGGATAGGGTAGGGTGGCCTCTAACCCTCGCTGGTTCACAACTCCTTCGATTTTTATTTATCTTTACTAGGCCTTATTCCCTAAGTTCTAGGTGCCTCTAAAGATCAGAATTTTGTTCTAGAAGGGTTGAAGGACAAGTTCTTTCATTCAACCAACCTATTTTCCATTATCAGGCACCACTCACTGAGCATAGGAAAGTGACCCAAATGTGTGTTCCCTAAAGCCTACAGCATCCCCAGGAAAGGAGGTGCCTAGACCCCTTAGCCCTGCTAAGACACCTGCTCTCTGGTTTTCCTCTCACTCCCCTAGCCACAGAAATGATCTATCTGCCCGCCTCCATCGAGCCAGCCTCCTAGAAGTCTCTGGACACTCAGGAGGCTTTCTCCCAGGACTGTATGTACCCTACCCACTTTGTGTTCTACAGGACAAGCACTCTGGACGGAGCTGCTTCTCACGACAGCACAGTAGGGGATCTGGGGACCACTGGCCTCATTTCCATCAAGACTGGCTGAGGCCAGTGGTCTGGGTGTTCTTGGACACACTCTGAGAAAACTTAGGAATTTCCTAATATCTCAGACACAGGATGGTGAGGGGGTGGGGTGGGGAGGGCAAAACCACCGGAGCAGAGGCAAGGGCTAGTGATTAGCCTTGTAAACAGAGGCACTCTGCCCACTCTACCCACTAGAGTAGAACAGACAGATGAGGAGAGCAACACACACACACACAAGCGCACACACACACACACAATTAATCAATACTAAAAAAAAAAAAAAAACAAAAAAAAACTCTGGTTCTGGAAGCCAGCCTTTCCCGTGTTATACTCTTCGCCTCTAGCCTCTCTCCCCACAGGTTAAGACTGGAATCACTTCTGTGCTTTTTCCACACGGGACTCTCTTGTGAGCAGAGGACACCGCACTGCCTGGCAAGCGCAGGCGCTGACAGATGAGGTCGACAACTTAGCAGAGCCCACAGACAGAAGTACAAAGAGTCAACTTTATTAGTCATTCAGGGCTAGTTTCTCTTCTTGCCCTTGCCGGTGACCTTGGCTGGTGTGAGGACTGGGGCCGTTGCCTGGTACAGCGTGGAGGAGATCTTGTTGATATAGTACAGCCCAACCATGGAGAAGATGAAGCTATGGGGTGAAAAGAAGTCATTAAATCAACGGGCATGTCGCTAGACGGCGGACACCGGCTGTAGGGAAAGAATTCTGGTTTAGGTTTGGGAGCTCAGGGAAGGACAAAAAAGAGAAAACAGGGGAAGAGGTGTGTGGTGGGAAGGGAAGGGACTGGCACCACCCCAGGGGGATTGGTACCAAAAGATGAGGCATCACTGCACCCCCTGCCCAACGGTCAGATACGTACCAGGTGGTGACACACACTCGGTGGATGAGGCCAGATGCAAAGAGGGCCAGCAGCAAGCACAGGAGAACTGTGGGGGCAGGACAGGAGCGTCAGCAGGTGTCCAAGAGAGGAACACCCACCAGGAGCAATGCCTTTCTGAGGCACCTGCTTGAAAAGGCATATCCTGGTGGCACACGCCTTTAATCCCAGCACTGGGGAGGCAGAGGCAGGTGGATCTCTGTGAGTTCGAAGCCAGCCTGGTCTACACAGAGAAACCCTGTCCCGAAAAACAAACAAACAAAAGATATGCCCTGATAAAAGTCGAGGGTTCAGAAGGCCTTAACCTTGTTCAGAACCCGGAGGTAAGACGGGAACAGAGTTTTGTTTGGTTTGTGTTTCACTAGCTTTGCTCCGCCTCTCATTCCACTTCCTGGCCTCCCCCCGCCCCCCACACACACTAAAAAACATAACAAAAAACCCCAAACCAAAAGGCAGCTGAAATGCAGTGGGACAGGCCTAGACAGCTGAGGCGGAAGGACCACTAAAACTCAGGAACTCAAGACAAGGCCAGCCTGGGCAACACAGTGAGATCCTGTCTCAAAAGTAAATTAATAACTAAAATAAAATGTACTAGCAGGGCTTGGAGAGCAAGGCTGGTCCCCATTATTCAGGCAGAGGGCTAAGGCCTGACAGAACTGGAGAGGGGTGAGGGGCAGGAAAGGCGAAAAGGGTCCATCTGTCCAGCTGGAGCCAGCAGAGCAGGCAAAGAAAGACAGGGATTTTGCCCCCCCAACAATGGTTTCTTTAGGAAACAGCAAAGACGGTACATGTGCAACAAAGTTTAAGAGTCTGAAGTTCTGAGAGTGCGGGGTGGAAGTTCTGGAAACCTGCAGCAGGGCTGTGAAAACCCAGAGGAGGGCAAGGAGGCGTGGGCAAGAGCAGGTTTTGGTGCTGCTGAGTGAGGCTTTCCCAAGACTACAACTGCTGTAAGTTTCTGAGCATGTGACTTTCCTCACGTGATTTGGTCCTGATGCTGGTGAACTTAATTCTCCATAAATAATTAAACCATCAGATCTCTAAAAGAGCCATCTAACAAGGGTTAAAATTGATCCATCAGGGCTGGAGATGAGGGCCAGTTGGTAGAGTGCTTGCCTATCATGCTGAAAGCCCTGGGCTCCATACCAGTACCACATAAACCACATGAGGTGGTGCTAATCCCAGCACTTGGGAGGTGGAAGCAGGAGGTCGGCAGTTCAAGGGTTCAAAGTCATCCTCAGCTACATAGTAAGTTCAAGGCCAGTCTGGGCTACAGAGGACAGGGGAGGAAGAGAGGGAGAGAGAAACCAAGGGAGGGAGAGAAAAGAGAGAGGGCTCTAACAGTGATTCTCTATTCTCCTTTGGTGGGGAGTCCTGGTATCAGTAACATCCCAGTCAGACTTACAATCCCCTCAAGAGAACTCTAGTGCGGGCTCAATTTCACACGAGACTCCCTCGGTGAACCTGTCTGTCTGTCTTCTCTCCTGAGGATGCCTATCAAACATCAGTCAAACTTAACTGTTTGCTTGAAACCTTTCCTGGGGGCAGGCCAGGTTTTCCTTTTTCTTTCTTCATTTTCTTCCCTTTGTGCTTCTCTTCCAGCTCCGATGCCCGGAGCTGGACAAGATGCTGGATCCAAAAGCGTCCTCTGTCTTCAAGACAGTGTTAGCAAGCGTCTATCTCCTTTACCATCTAAGCACAGGGAAATGCAGCATCATGTTTGGGGGAGGTTAAAAGAGTTCAGTCAACTACCGAGTTTCACTTACTCTCGGGGAAGATCTTTGCTTGGAAACCTTTACCAAAGACCAGATTCTCCAGATTATTGAAGGCCTGGGTTGAGGGAATTAAGGAGAAACTCCTGCAACAAGACAGGGCTGGAGAGCAGGAGACAAGCAAAGCTCACGCGGTCCCCTACCCAACGTCTGTTCAAACACACACACACACACAGGGCTGGAGAGCAGGAGACAAGCAAAGCTCACGCGGTCCCCTACCCAACTTCTGTTCAAACACACACACACACACACACACACACACACACACACCCTCTTTCCAGCTTGGGGAGGATACAGTCAGGGAGAAGACGAAAAGGCCGGAGCCCAGCAGGCCCCGGATGGTCCCCTACCCATCTTCTGTTCACACACACACACACACACACACACACCCTCTTTCCAGCTTGGGGAGGATACAGTCAGGGAGAAGACGAAAAGGCCGGAGCCCAGCAGGCCCCGGATGGTCCCCTACCCATCTTCTGTTCACACACACACACACACACACATCTTCTGTTCACACACACACACACACACATCTTCTGTACACACACACACACACACACACACACACACACACACACACACACACACCCCTCTTTCCAGCTTGGGGAGGATACAGTCAGGGAGAAGACGAAAAGGCCGGAGCCCAGCAGGCCCCCCTGGATGGTGAGCCACTCGGTGGAGGCCAGCTGGCGGCTGTATATCTGCATGCCAGCGAAGAGCAGCAGGGACAGGAGGGACGACAGCGCCAAGGAGGTTCCGGTACCGACTACTGGTGATGAGAAAAAATTCAGGCTAAGCTTCCGGCAGATTGGCTCCGGAGTTCGGCCCGCCAACCACTTCCGAGCGCTCCCGGTACTGCAGCCACACTCCCCCCCACCTCCCACGCCACGGTGACCTCCAGGAACCCCCCGGCCCCGGGCCCCGCACACCCAAGTTCCCGCCTGTGCCGAGGACACGCCAGCTCCCTGGAAACCAGGACACGTCAGCTTTACCGAAGCGACGGCGGGGAAAAGAGGGCCACCCCAACGCCCACCCCTGCTAGAGCAGCCCGGGCACCCCGCCGGTCCGGTTACCCATCACGCCCCGCCCGTGGGTCCAATCCGTGCCAGTGGCCGTGAAGCAGGGGAGCCAAACCCGGCGCGGTGTCTGTACGCAGGCGTCGGGGCCAACGTGGACTCGCTTTACTTCTTCCTCCGGGCGTCTTGGCCGCAGCGCCCTCTTGCGGCAAGGAGGAGATAATGCTTCGAAGAGCATTCTAGGCCACCGCCCTGCTGGGTCCCCAGCCTTCCGTACCGAGGGCATCTGCTGCCTCTCGGGACAAGCCGCACCCACGGCTCTCAGTCAGGACCCCAGGGCCTAGAGTCCCCTGTGTCTTCCTTGCTATTCATGTCATCTCTAGTACAAGTTCCCCAGACCTCCCTGCCCCACTCTGATGGCCTCAACATCTCCCGAAGACATGCCCCACCCAAAATGTAGCGCTCTCAACCAGGAGTTCATCGTCCTCTGAAATCTTGCTTCATGTGAGCAGTATCACTAGGGATCAATGAAAGAGTCTAACAGAAGGAAATGGTTCCTCTCCCAAATACCCTTCCATGTTACCCACCCCCTAGACCGCCTTTGGAGAACCACGTGGGAAGAACTCTTTCCCACCCCCTACCTCGACGGGCGCAGTTCGAGGCAGGTCCCTGGAGCATGCGCAGTGCTATCTCACCCTCTCCACCCCTCCCTACACCCCACCCGGCTCCTGCATTAAGCCCCGGGTTCGCAGCAGCAGCCAGGATCGGGCAACCGGGGGCGGGCGGGCACAGTAGGGCCATGGCTGAGGGTGAGGATATGCAGACCTTCACTTCCATCATGGATGCACTAGTCCGCATCAGTGTGAGTTAAGGTGGGGGTCGAGGGGAAGGGAGGGGGTGTAGAGGGGTCGGGGCAAGCCAGATCTTTGAACAGGTGGGGGTCCAGGAAGAGTCTGGAATGTAGAGAAGGGACTAGTTAAGACAGAAATGACGGGAAGGGCGGAGATGCAGGTGTGCAGGGATCCCGGGGACAGCCGAGTGGTCAGTGCCCTAAAGACTCCCCTCTGCCGGGGTGTAGGCAGCGAGGAGCTGCCCGGGACCCAGCGGGTAGGCTTGGGGCAGCGGCCAGCAGTGCACCAGGGTTATGAGAAGGGGCATGTGTGAGCTTGGATGTTTTCCAAGAAACTGAGGCCAGGTTGGAGGGGGGAGGTGATGAAAAAGCTGCCCCTAGGTGCAGTTCCCAATTTGGACCCATCCCGACCCCCCACCCTGCCACCCCCACCCCCTGCGAGCTGCCGTGCAGTCTGCGGTTGCCATGGCAACCCGTGCCCGTCTCTCCCAGAGGCGGTGCCAACCCTGCTCCCCCCCACCACTTCCTTCCCCCTCCCTCCCTGTCGCTCCCTCCTTTGTGTCAGCTGCGCCCCTGACCGGGATGGCTGCGAAGAGAGGGACCAAGGTGAGGTGTGGGGGTGGGGAATAGCCTGAAGACCCCTCACCAAAAGGGGGAGGGATACTTCCGGTGGGGAGGGGGCAAGTAGGCGGGGCGCTCCCCCCTCCCCCCAGATGGGGCAAAGGCTTGCAGCAGGCCGAGTTTCTCCACCAGACTGGGCCGGAGAGCTCGGGTATAGGAGGCGAAGAGGAATGGGTTGATTTGGGGAGACTGGAAGAAATAGAAGTGAAGAATGGAGGATGGGTGCTGGGGCGGCCGCGGGCCGGTGTCCAGCCGGTTCGGGGAGCTAGCGCACGCTGGCCGCGGGGAGCAGTCATGCGCCTGAGGGTTGCTAGAAAAAGGGGCGGGGGACAGCACCCAAATGTAGAATGGGTGGTGCCCTTGAAATAAATCCCAGGAGCAGGCCAATAATCCAGAGATGGAGGGATGGAGACAGGTGAGGAAGGAGGACCGCCTGCCTGCTCTGCTGCATCCGGAGCGATGGGGGTGGGGCGCGATGCTGGGGGAGGCCAGAGCTCCAACCGGACCTTCTTGTTGGGCCTTAAGCTCTCCCAAGAGGGAACAGAAGCAGGAGACAGAGAGCTGGGAAGGTGTGTGGGCCAAAGCAGTAGGTAGCTTGTGCTGCTCTTCCTGACAGCCAAGGGACCGGCTGAGATATGCCCAAGTGTCCTAGCTCTCACACAACCTCCTGGTCCCTCCACAGACAAGCATGAAGAACATGGAGAAGGAACTGCTGTGCCCAGTGTGCCAAGAGATGTACAAGCAGCCACTAGTGCTGCCTTGTACCCACAACGTGTGCCAGGCCTGTGCCCGGGAGGTTTTGGGCCAGCAGGGGTACATAGGCCATGGTGGGGACCCCAGTTCGGAGCCCACTTCTCCTGCTTCCACCCCTTCTACCCGCAGCCCCCGCCTCTCTCGGAGAACGCTCCCCAAGCCAGATCGCTTGGACCGGCTCCTTAAGTCAGGTGGGGCTGGGGTTTGTGGGATGGGGTGGGAATGCAGAAAGCTGGAAGAGGGTCAGGGGCATCTGTCATTCTGAGGTGGAACTGCTTACTGCTTACCTGGATTCTAATGAGAGCTGAGCTCTGATGCAATTAAAGTCCACTTTTTAATTGAACAGATGTCGCCCACCCCTAGTCAGCTGTGATTCTCACCTCTACCTCCTGGGTCCTTCCACAGGCTTTGGGACATACCCTGGGCGGAAGCGGGGTGCCTTGCACCCCCAGACGATCATATTCCCGTGCCCAGCCTGCCAGGGCGATGTGGAGCTGGGGGAGCGGGGCCTTTCGGGGCTTTTCCGAAACCTGACCCTAGAGCGCGTGGTGGAGCGGTATCGACAGAGTGTGAGTGTGGGAGGCGCCATCCTGTGCCAGTTGTGCAAGCCCCCGCCACTAGAGGCCACCAAGGGCTGCACAGAGTGCAGAGCCACCTTCTGCAACGAATGCTTCAAACTCTTCCACCCCTGGGGCACTCAGAAGGCCCAGCATGAGCCAACTCTGCCCACCCTCTCATTCCGCCCCAAGGTGAGCCAGTTCTTGCGGGGTCTGAAGTGGGAGGGGCATGGTGGTGCCGAACCAGGAGTTGGGGGTGGCTGGCATTTGGGCTTCCAAAGAGTGGTGGGCCAGGTTGAGTTTTTGTCTGTGTGTATGAGTATGTGTGTATGGTGTGTGTGTGAGTGTGTATGAGTAGTGTGAGAGTAGTATATGTGTATATGGGTGAGTGTGTGTGTGAGTGATATGTGTGTGAGTAGTATATGTGTATATGTCTGAGTGTGTGTGTGTAAGAGAGAGAGACAGAGAGACAGAGACAGAGAGAGAGAGGGTCTTGGAGCGGGAGAGATGGCTCTGTGAATAAGAGCTCTTCCAGAGAATCCCAGTTTTCGTCCCTGTAATTCCAGCTCCAGGGGACACACCACCTCTGGCCTCTTCAGGCACCTGCTCTCATACACATAGTTCAAAATTAAACATTAAGGAGGAAAAAAAGACAGAGCCTTGCCATATAGTCCACGCTAGCCTTGAACTCATGGCAATCCCCTTGCCTCAGTTTCCTGAGTACTAGAATTACAGACATGCACCGTCACATCGGCTGCCTAGCAGCCCCTGTCTCTAACATTCACTGAACAAATGATTCAATATCACAGAGAAACCCTGTCTCGAAAAAGCAAAAAAAAAAAAAAAAATGATTCAATATCTATGGGTCTCTCATCTCACCTGCTGCAGAGAGATGAGAGAGTCCATTCTGCAATATCCACACCTGAAGAACTTTGATAGGATCATAGGAGATGTTGTTGCCTCCAAAGGTGTTATCTGGCCAAGCATGGCGGCACATGCCTGAGTTCCCAGCCCTTGGAAGGTTGAATCAAGAGACTTGGACACTGAAGGCCAGTCTGGGCTACACCGGAAAACTGTCTCAAAAAAAGGTTGTTTATAGTCAGGCAGTGGTGGTGCACACCTTTAGTCCCAGCACTCGAGAGGCAGAGGCAGGCAGATCTCTGTGAATGTGAGGCCAGCCTGGTCTACAGAATGAGTTCCAGGATAGCCAGGACTGTTACACAGAGAAACCCTGTCTCAAAAAACAATAACAAAAAGTTGTTTATATGCAGGATGCTGCTGTTCTAGAATTTGGGTACAACCCCAAGCAAAGATGAACTGCAGGATTATATTAATTATCATGATTGTTGTTACTACGATATACATATCTGTGTGAAGTAGATGAAGGGAGCAAAGCTCTGAAATGGACATTGCTTCGACAGTTCAGAAGCACGTTCGTGCCAGTATTCACCACCAGATGGCACTGTGGAGCACCGCCACTATTTCCACTGCCCTCTCATCGAGGGCAACCAATTGCTGGTAGCCCTGACACACACCATTGGCTGACTGTTTCACTGTCCTTTTACCCCTAGGGTCTGATGTGTCCGGACCACAAGGAAGAGGTGACCCACTATTGCAAGACATGCCAGCGGCTGGTGTGCCAACTCTGCAGGGTACGGCGCACCCACAGTGGGCACAAGATCACTCCAGTACTCAGTGCCTATCAGGCCCTCAAGGTAAAAGACCCCTGCTTCCTCAGCCCCAGCGCTAACACACACCAGCACACGCCTACTAATTACTTGCCTCTGCAGAGCCAGGATGATGCCCACCTCTTTCTTTGCCCTTAGGATAAGCTGACAAAGAGCCTGGCGTACATCTTGGGAAACCAGGACACAGTACAGACCCAGATTTGTGAGCTGGAAGAGACCATCAGGCACACTGAGGTGAGGAAGGGCGTGGACGTGTGCCTTGGATCCTGCTTGGATGGGCATGCTCCTGTTGCCTTGCTGCAAGTTCAGAGCCCACTGGAGGAGGATGTGTGTGGGCGGAGGCTCTGGTTAAACTTCATTGGCAAGAACGCCAGTGCCCCAGCTTAGGCTGTAGCTAGGGCTGCAGTGGGAGTAGGAGGGCTACCCTGGGGACTAAGGAGCTCAAATGCACGGACGTTGAGCCTAGCGTGGACGCAACCCTGCAGCTAGGGGTGGGGTGAGGCACAAACAGCTTCTGCAGGGTTGTCTGAATTAACTGAGGTGGAATTGGACGATGAGGACGGCATAGCCACCAGTGTGCCATAGCTAATGTAATTCCCAAGTGGACATTGGAGCAATCATGGCCTTTCTTGTTTGGGCGAGACGTAAAGAGATTAAGACTATGAAAGAGTGAAGGCAAAATATGGCCAGTCCGTATAATGGTGACTTTGAGTTTCGATCACTGGAGGGGCTATAGTCTCAGAAAGGGCAGTGTGCTGTGTTTTCTGACATGCTTCAAGGTAGAAGGGTTCTTCAGAGAAGGATCTCCCTCACGCACTAAGGCCAAACAATCCTGTTTGCCAGACACTGGTATTGAGGCTGCAATGTACCCAAATAACCAACTATTTAAAGCAGCTCTCTCCTTCCACTAGTTTTCAGCCTTTCCCCATTTGTCTCTTAGCGACATGACTAAGCCAGCCCATAGCTCCATTTAGCATATCATTTCTTCACAAGTGCATTGCGCTGGAGTTGACCGTGAAGTTCAGTGATGGGCATGTGTGTCTCCACCACAAAGGGCAAAGAGGGCTGGAGAGATGACCCAGCAGTTAAGAATACTTACTGTTCTTGCAGAGGACCCAGGTTCAGTTCCCAGCACCCACATGGCAGTTTATGAA